TTGTCCATGCAGATTTACATTGTTTCCAGTCCTGACCCTAAAGTGTGATGAAGGTGCACTCCAGAGACGGAGGCAGCAGGACACAACCCTACTAACAGTAACACTGGCAGTGTGTACTAGGAGCTCTGTGGACCCTGGCGGGGCTACCCCTCACCACAGTCCCTGAGGGAAGGACTGGTACCACCCTGCCCAAGCTGTAGGTGAGAATCTGAGAAGGTAAGCAACCTGTCCATGTGCACACACCCTGCAAGTGGTGGAGCCCTGTCTTGGCAGGCTGGTGCCTGGAGTGCCCTTAGTCCACCATAGCAGATAGTCTGGGTTCAAGTCTTGCAAAGTCACCAAACGCTAGACGCTGGTCGTTCAATATATGCTTCTTAAGCTGCTGCTCTGTACCAAGCTTGTTCTGGTTGCTGGGAGAGATGGCGGAGACCAAGGAAGGCCTGAGCAGCACTTGTGTGCAGGGGGCTGGCAGTGCCTGGTGTCACAGGCGGGCAAGGGGTGCTCTGCCAGTGCCGCGCCCCCGGCAGCTTGCAGCTCCCTTACCCCAGAGTGACCACACGTATACTGTGTTGTGTGTGTGCACAGCCCAGCGGACTTCCTGCAGAGCCTTGGCACAGTTCCCTCTCTACTCAGTATTTCTCCACAGGAGTGGAAGCCTCTGAGGGCGGGGACTTTTGTCCTGCACTCTCTCTTCCCGTAGAGAAGTGCGTCTAATACAGGTTAAATAAATGAATGACTGAGCTCCGGGAATTCCTGCATTTTAAAAAGGATTTCATTTTATTTATTTTTTAATTTTTATTTATTTTAAAAAATATTTTATTTATTCGAGAGAGAGAAGAAGGAGGAGGAGGAGGAGGAGGAGGAGGAGGAGGAGGAGAAAGAAGAAGAAGAAGAAGAAGGAGGAGGAGGAGGAGGAGGAGGAGGAGGAGAAAGAAGAAGAAGAAGAAGAAGGAGGAGGAGGAGGAGGAGGAGGAGGAGGAGGAGGAGACTCGATCCCTGGTCTCCAGGACCACACCCTGGGCTAAATCGCTGAGCCACCCCGGCTGCCCAAGGATTTTATTTTTAAGTAATCTCTATGCCCAACATGGGGCTCGAGCGTACAACCTCGAGATCAGGAGTCGCATGTTCCTCTGACAGAGCCAGCTAGGCAACCCTGAATTCCTGCATTCTTAAACTTAACCATTTGGGTAAGAAGTGGTTAAAGAGAAGAAGTTTCCCAGCAGATAATTATTTTAAAAGTTTGAAATGGTAATGACCTTCCTCCATTCCGTATCCACCTCACCACACACATATGCCCCAATACCCATATGCTTATGTACTTGTAGGAGACCATCTTGAATATGGTGCGAGGTAAGAATTCGGGGTTTGAAAGGATCCTGAGAGAGCATCTCATGCAACCCTCTCATTTTATCAAGGAAGAAACAGGCTCAAGGGATGGCCTTGGCTCGCTTGTGATTCTCTGTGAATGGGGCTGGAGCTATGCCAGGTCTCTCCACCTCTTGCACAGACCCCAAATTTTCGTTGGGTTCCCATACCTATCCTTCTCCCAACACAAAGTGTTCTTACCATTGTGAGACCCTCATCCTCCACTGTGCCTCCTTTGTCTGGACCAGAAAGACATCATTGCCTGTGCCAACTGAAAGCTGGGACTGGGAGAGGCTGCCCAGCTTCAGACAGGAGATCTACCTTCCAGTCTCACAGTCTGGGGAAGCAGGATGCCAATTACAGATCCTCTCCAGAGCTGTGGCCAGATGACAGGCCCAGAGAAGCCGAGGGCCCTGTCAAGATCACAACACATCAAGGTTGGAAACAACCTGGGTAAGCATCTTACGTCACCAACCACAGTTGTACAGATGAGGAAACAGCTGCAGAGACAGAGAGGGACCCACCCAGTTACACAGCAAGTCAGCGGTGAAGCACAGACTAGAGACAACTGGCCTCTGGCAGGGTGTGTGTTGTGTCCAAAGACATTAAAAAGATATTAAAAATCCTAAAGAAGGGCACTTGGCTGGCTCAGTCGGTAGAAGATACAACTCTTGATCTTGAGATTATAAAGGTTGTAAATTCAAGCCCCACGTTGGGCATAGAGATTATTTATTTATTTATTTATTTATTTATTGAATTTTATTTATTTATTAATGATAGACATAGAGAGAAAGAGAGGCAGAGACACAGGCAGAGGGAGAAGCAGGCTCCATGCCGGGAGCCCGCCCCGGGATTTGATCCCGGGACTCCGGGATCGCACCCCGGGCCAAAGGCAGGCGCTAAACCACTAAACCCAGGGATCCCCGAGATTATTTTTTTAATATTTTATTTATTTATTCATGAGACACACAGAGAAAGAGGCAGAGACACAGGCAGAGGGAGAAGCAGGCTCCCTGCAGGGAGTCCAATGTGGGACTCCAATCCTGGACTCGAGATGCCCTGAGCCAAAGGCAGACGCCCAACCACTGAGCCACCCAGGCGTCCCAGGCATAGAGATTACTTAAAAAACAACAACTTAAATTTGCGTGTGTATGTGTGTGTGTTTGTGTATGTGTGTCTGAAGACTCATTAAGAAACCTGAAGAGGGGATCCCTGGGTGGCTCAGTGGTTTGGCGTCTGCCTTTGGCCCAGGGCGCGATCCTGGAGTACCGGGATCAAGTCCCCTGTCGGGCTCCTGGCATGGAGCCTGATTCTCCCTCTGCCTGTCTCTGCCTCTCTCTTTCTCTCTCTCTCTCTGTGTCTATCATGAACAGATAAATAAATCTTAAAAACAAACAAACAAACCTGAAGAGTTTGGGGTGCCTGGATGGTATAGTCACTTAAGTGTCCAACTCTTGGTTTTGGCTCAGGTCATGAGATTGAAACCCTCGTTGGGCTCTGCACTCAGCTGGGTCTGCTTAATACTCCCTCCCCACTCCCTCTACCCACCCCCTCAAATAAACAAATAAATCTTTATTTTTTAAAGATTTATTAATTTATTTCGGGGAGAGAGAGAGAGATACCGCACAAGCAGGGGGAGTGGCAGAGGGAGGAGAAGCAGACTCCCTGCTGAGCAGGGAGTCCCACGTTGGAGTTGAACTCAGGACCCTGGCATCATGACCTGAGCCAAAGGCAGACACCCAACCAACTGAGCCACCCAGGTGTCCCTAAAGAAATAAACCTTAAAAAAGAAAAATAAAACCCTGGAGTTTATGTCTCCCTTGCCCTCCCCAGGGCCCTGCCTCAAAGACCTCAAGGCAATAGGACTTTCCAGCCCCAAAGGTGTCAGTGGCAGAGGTGAGACTGTGATTATTTCCCCTCCTTGCCTTCCTGGGAGCCTTGACATCTGCCTCCTGTTCCAGTTGGGCTGCTCAGGTAATGGCTGTGGGGTAAAGCTGTGAAGGCCATGCTGAGTTACACTGGGATAAAGAAAGAGAGGGAGGGAGAGACAGAGAGGAGAGAGGGGAGGAAGAGAGTAGCTAATGCTAAGTTCTTTTGTGGATTTTATTTATTTTTTGTGGATTTTATTTTTTTGACAGAATGTGGAGAGGAGACAGCTACTGTCCAGGAAAAAATGGGACTGTGTTGGAAGGTGTTGGAAGCTTCATGACAGCAGTTCATGTAGACACCTACGTATGAAATAGTGTTGCAGTGTGATGAGCAGTGGGGGCTGGTGAACAAAAGGCCTGTCTGAGGACCAGCAACTAAAGCTGTGCCCTAGGAAGAGAAAGAGCCAGCAGGGGGAACGTCCCTCAGGATGTTTTAGGAAGATCGCTTTGGTGCCATTTGGAGAGCGGACTGCAGAAGACAGGAGGCAAGAGACCATTCAGCTCCTACAGTCGTCCAGGTGAGAGAGGATGGTGGACCAAGCCAGGATGATGGCTGTGGAAATGGAAGAGCGTGCCATCTCTTTGGGAGGTGGGACAGTCAGGGCTTATACAAGGACTACAATACCTGGGGTCAAGGCTGACTCCCAGTGTAAATGCCTGGGTTGAGGGGGGACCATTTGCACTGACCCCCATGGAAGGCAAGAAGAGCCTCCCCCAGTGCTCTAGAGAAGTCTGGTGATGGCACGGACACTGAGGGCAAGGGGGGCGGGGGTCCAGAATCACAGGCCAGGAGCTGGAGGGCAAACGGCTGGTAGACAAACACCACTCCTCACTGCAGACAATACCAGAAGGGCAGGGCCAAGCAGGTCCTAAGAAATGTGGGGATGCCCAGGGGCCCTGAAAGGCCCTACAGAACCTGGATGCTGTGGGGGTTTGAGTTCAGGAAATCCATTAGGGACTTCCCTTCCACTTTGCAGACTTGGAGCCCAGAGCCCAGGGCAAGGGGGAAAATTCCCTGACGAACCGCCTCCTTCTGCAGTCCTGGAGGCTTTTTAAAAATGACCCCATAAACGTGACTCTACCCTCTTATAACGTTTCCAGCGCTTCCCACTGGTGTCCCCCACCATTTGGCAGCCTTCATCCCTCTGCAAGGCTCACAGGCCAGTTCCCTCCACGAGGGCCAAAGCCCACGCACCAATGCCCCTTTCCTCCCGCTCCCCCTGCTAGGTACACCCTTCTACTCCTTTGGGCCCCCAGAATCTTCCGTTCTCCAAGGATCAATGACGGATCCTCGAAGCCACAACGAACAGCCACTCTCCCACGCTGGAATCCTGCAGGAAACTGCTTTCATCTCGTTAGAGCTGGTGGCTGCTGCCTGCGTCCCCGGGACGCTCCAGCTCGACCCCATGTCCAGACAGGCGCCCAGGAAGACCGGTACGATGCGACCCAGGAGGGCTCGCCCGCACACGTGCTCGCTGCCTCGCGCCGGGGACTTCGTGCTCTTGGTGTCCAGGTGCGCAGCCGCCGAGGCCCCGCCAGGCCGGCCGGCGCCCCGCGCTCCGGGCTCCGGTGACCGCAGGCCGCCCCTCACCGAGCACCCCGTCACGTGACGGCGGAGCAGCCGAACTTTTCTCACGTGACGGAGGCGCCGGCGTGTGGACCAATGAGAAGGCGGGGGCGGGGCTTCCGAGGGGCGGTGCGCGGGAAGGGAACGCCGGGCCGCTTGGCGGCGGCTGGTGAGACCCGGCCCCGAGCCGCGGGCGGGGTGGGTAGGGCTCGGCGCGGGCCATCCGCCAGACCCAGCCCGGTCGGAGGCCAGGCCCGACCTCGGCGGTGGGGGCAGCATGAAGTGTTTGGTCACCGGCGGCAACGTGAAGGGTGAGTTCGGGGCCCCCGGGGGCGGGGGCACGTGGGACCGCGGGAGACGCCAGCCTAACCCGTTTCTCTTCTCTTCCCCGCAGTGCTCGGCAAGGCCGTCCATTCCCTGTCCCGCATCGGGGACGAGCTCTACCTGGAGCCCCTGGAGGACGGGGTGAGGGGGGTCACAATCGGGAGCCAGCTTCACTTCGTGTCAGGCTAGATGCCCTTGGGCAGAATTGTCTGCCAAGGTTGCCCCCCCCCTCGTTGTTGGGGTATCAGGTTGGGTCCTGTCATCTTCCCAGGCCGGTGTGTGGATCGAGGGCCATTACCCTCCCCGAAGTGCCTTGTGTGTGTTTGGCGGGGGGGGGGGGGGGGGGGGGGCGGGGGGGGCGGGTAACTAGGGAAAAAAGGCAGTGTGTGCTGACGGTTGTGTAGGGCCCTTGCCACCAGGGACTCAGGGAAGGCTTCATGGAGAAGGCAGTCGCTGACTGGAAGGAGAGGGAGGATTTCAACAGGTGACGGTGGAGGAGAAGGACATTAGGACAGGTGTGAGCAGAAGCCAGACAGAGGACAGAGCCTGTTTCTGCCCCCTGACCGCATCCCTCTCCCTGCTCTTCCTGGCTCAGCTCTCTCTTCGGACGGTGAACTCCTCTCGCTCTGCCTATGCCTGCTTCCTCTTTGCCCCACTCTTCTTCCAGCAGTACCAGGCCACCACCTCTGGTCAGGAAGCCCTGCGCTGTAAGATCTTGATGAAGGTGAGGTGTCCCCCCCCCAACCAGGAATGGGTCCACCCTGGGGCATTCAGAAGATCCTGACTGGGGAGGGTGGTGTATGCAGGAGCAAACCAATATAAAATGCATTGAGGTGTACAGTAGAGACACCACAGAGGGTAATGGGAGCTGGGGAGAGGGTAATAGATCCTGCCAGGGACCTGGAGAGAGTGGTGATATTGAAAAGTAAGCAGATCTTTCAAGGCATCCCAGACAGGTGTGATAGTATGAACAGAGAAAGGCCTGGAAAAGCATAAGTGTTCTGCATCTTGTGGGAGCTCCCTCTCTAGTGTGACAGTGCTGAGCCTGGGATGGCCAGAGCCTACATGGGATGTGGAAGCTGGTTGGTGGAGGCCACTGGGCTGATGGGTTTCCCTTGCACAGTCGTTCCTGGCTGTCTTCCGCTCGCTGGCAACGGTGGAGAAGACTGTGGAGAAATGCTGCATCTCACTGAATGGCAGGAGAAGCTGCCTGGTGGTCCAGCTACACTGCAAATACGGTGAGGGGGCAGCTGGCTGGCCGAGGAATCCCTGGGGTGGAGGGGTGGAGGTTAGCAAAACCCACTGAGACCCCATCCGCCCATCCAGGGGTGAGGAAGACTCACAACCTGTCCTTCCAGGACTGCGAGTCCCTGCAGGCCGTCTTCGACCCAGCCTTGTGCCCCCATGTACTCCGTGCCCCAGCACGGTGAGTGTGTCCCTCTGGCTACAGACTGAACGTGGGTCTTTTTTTTTTATTTTTTGGAGCTTCAAGGGTCAATTTGAGAAGACACCTTCTTCATTTTCTCTACAGAGTTTCTGTGAACCTCAAAGAATTAGTCCAGATCAGTTTGCTCTCAGGTCTGGCTCTTTAAGGGCAGAAGCTGGAATAGAGGAGGGCATTGCTCTGTGTTCCTCACTGTGTCCAGGAACCTGCATTCTCTACCCTAAAGATCCGGCTTGGCTTTCTGGCCACTTGGACCCCTTCTGACTCCCCTTTTAGGAAGCAGGTCTCTTGCTTGCCCTTAAGTCCCCTTCCTTGGGCTTCAGGAGCCTTGAATGTCCATCTTTCACTTTCTGGCTCAGGGGCTCCAAATTCTTCTCTGGAGTAGTCATCTTTCTGGGAGTGTTCTCTATTCAAGGGCAGCCTCTCTTCCCATCTACTTGGGCTGGAGCTTTGAGAAGTCCACAGGCCAAGGAAGGAGGCTGGACAGGGAGGCCATGCTCCAGGAGGGCAACCTGGATCAGCAGCTGTGGGGGTATGGCTGTCCTGGGACAATCAGAGCACACCTAGGGGCTATGCAGGGCCAGGGAGATGGAGTCTACAGAGGAGGCAAAGGTTCCTGCAGAAGACCAATGTAGAGAGGGATGGCTCCCCTCCCACCCCATGCTGGATGCTGCTTGCATCCGAGTAACCCAAGGTAATGTTCATTTCTTTTTGTAGCCATAGGGTATGATAATTTGAAGTTTCCTTTGGGTCCTGAGTCTGTTTTTCTGAGTTCTGTTGAGATAATGCTGCTTAGGACTCCTTTGGGTAGATAAAGAGAGAAGGATATCACCTCTGGTCTGGATTTTGGAGCTTTATTATTATTTTTTTTAATGAGCAATTGTTTTTCTTAAGGACAGTTTCAAATATGTATAAAAGTGGATGTCTGCTCCCATCTGCTCCCGTTCCAATTGTCTTGAGACAAATTCCAATTGTTACTTCATATGTAAATATTTGTCAACATGTATTCCTAGAAGACAGAGATTTAAGGCCTTTTTCCTGAAGGCTGAATTTCTAGGGATGGCCTGGGTGTGGTTTCCCACCCCTGGGTGGGCAGGTGCTGCTTGCCTGGTTTGGCCCAGTGCAAAACATTCCATGCCTGTTGCCTCCTCTGGGCTGTGCTCTTGTCTGCCCCATCCCTTGCAGTGGACTCTTCTCCCCGCAACAGCCTGAAAGCTTTGGATGGGGCAGGACCCATGTCCTGCTCACCCTGTCCTCCTTCCCAGGGCATTCCACACATGGTGGATCCCCTTGGACTCTGGTACACGTGTCATAGCCCTGCCTCAGCTCAAGAGCAAAGCCACAGGGCAGGACTGAGTGTGTGATGTTGTACTCCCCCCCCCCCCCCCTGCCCCACAGGGTTCTGGGGGAGGCTGTTCTGCCCTTCCCCCCTGCACTGGCAGAAGTGACGTTGGGCATTGGCTGTGGCCGCAGGGTCATCCTGCGCAGCTACCAGGAGGAGGAGGCAGGTGAGAGAGCCAGACATGGCCTTAGGCAGGGTCAGAGCTGGGGTGGGAGGGGGTAGGGCCTAGAAGCCTAGGTTCCTCCTGTTCCTGCCTCCACAGACAGCACCGTCAAAGCCATGGTGACCGAGATGAGCATTGGGGAGGAGGATTTCCAGCAGCTGCAGGCCCAAGAAGGGGTGGCCATCACTTTTTGCCTTAAGGAATTCCGGGTGAGGTTCCCCCCAACACACCACCCTGTCCTTCCTGTCCTGCCCAGGGCCTCACTGCTCTGCTTCTCCCCTCCCAGGGACTCCTGAGCTTTGCGGAGTCAGCAAACTTGTCTCTTAGTGTTCACTTCGATGCACCAGGCAGGTAATTCCCAGCCTCAGGGAGGGGAGGGGATGCTGAGAGCTGAAAGGCCCTGACCTTGCCCAGGACCTGTCATCTGCCTAGGCCAGCCATCTTTGCTGTCAAGGATTCTCTGCTGGATGGACACTTTGTCCTGGCCACACTATCAGAGTCGGACCTGCACTCCCCAGCCCTGTGCTCCCCAGAGCTCCACAGGCTTGCGCCTCCACTCCAAGCTCACAGGTGAGGAAGCCCACCTGCCTACCCATGCCTCCCCACTCCCCTCTCTCTGCAGCCTGGCCTGAGCCTACTGCTTGCAGCGTGTGCACCTCCCCCAGCACATACACTTCCTGTTGGGCCCAGTGCTACGGCTCTCTCCAGCCCTGCAGGCTCAGTCTTCCTGGTCAGCTGTGTTCAGAGATCCCTCCCACCCAGGGAAGTGTCCCCAAGGTCGGGCTGGCTTCCTTCTCTGGCTGAGTCTTCCCCTTAGAGCCTCTTCCCAGGCCAAGGAGGGAACAGACTGCTGGGAGGCAGGGGGCTGACTGGGGCTGGGGAAAGCAGGTGGCTGGAAGGGCAGGTGGGCTGGGGAGGATGGGCCCAGTGTAGTGGAAGGAGAGGAAGTTTGGTCTGGCCCCCCGCCCAGCAAGTCCCTGGGCCCCAGTGCTCTCAAGCTCCGTCTCCTGGGAAGGGGGGAGCTTTAGCCCCAGGTGGCCTAGTTCAGAGGACCTGAGGCTTCTCTACCCAAGCTGAGCTAAACTGGCTCCCAGGATGCTTCCCTCAAGCCCCTATTTGAATTCTGATCAAACAAATTCCAGGTCCACTCCCTGCAGGAAGACACCACTTAACCACTGCATCGTTTCCCCTCCTATGAAATGAAAGTAATAAAGTCAAGAGATCACCAGTGGTCACAAGGCTTTTACAAATACTCCTACTCCTCTAGGGGTCCTGCCTCTGTACCCTCTTTTCACCCTCCTGCTCACTGACACCCTGTCCCTGCCTGCAGCACACCCCACCTGGATGACTTTGCCAGTGATGACATTGATTCTTACATGATTGCCATGGAAACTACTGCAGACAGCGAGGGCTCCCGGGCAGTACCCTCCATCCCCCTTTCACCTGGACTCCAGCCCCCCTGTAGCCCTGGCCCCTTCTCAGAAGACCATGAAGCCGAGCCCAGTACAGAGCCTGGGACTCCCCCACCCAAGAAGGTAGGGGCTGGAGATGGAGGTAGGGGTGGGAGACAAGGAGGGAACAGCCTCCAGAGCTCACTCTACTTCTCTTCCCTCCATTCCAGTTCCGCTCCCTGTTCTTTGGCTCCATCCTCGCCCCTGTACACTCTCCTCCGGGCCCCAGCCCTGTGCTGGCTGAAGATAGTGAAGGTGAAGGCTGAACTGAGAACAAGCCCGTGTCCAGAGGCTCTGGATTGGATGAAACCACAGCCTCCTCCTTCCCCCAGCAGCAGCCCAGGGATGGGGCTAATCACCCTGGTGGTTGGTAAAGGTGGGCTGTGTTGGAGTGGAGCACTGGTCTTGCTGCCACCCCAGGTCCTTCCTGGCTCTGACTAGCCTGGGTCCTGTCTTCTCTAATTCCCAACCAATCATGTCTGTTCCCAGGCTTTGCACCGAGCTGCCACCTGATGGGAGGCCCCCTGTTATTCCCCTCCCATAGGCCTTTAGGCCAGACTCCCAACTATGTGGTTAGGGCTGGACACCTGCCTTCCCTAAGCCTACCTCCCCAGGACAGAAATCACAGAGGGGCTATGAGCCCCTGATGATTTACCTTCTTTGCCAATCATGACTTGTCCGTCCCTTAAATCCTAGACACACCTCTGGGATCCTTTGTGGTCACCAAACTGTTTTCTCTATACTCTCTGGCCCCAGCTTGGAATTCTAAGCCCCCATGGACCTGAGCCTATGGCTGGGATTGCCCTAGCTGGGGCCCCATGCCCAGCATGCCTGTCCTCCCAAGCAGCCCTGGACAGAAGGGCTGCCAGGCCCAATACTTGGGACAAGGGAGACAGAGGCCATGGCGAGAATCCAGCTTTGACCTTTATTCAAGAGACCAGATGGGTTGCCCCAGGATCTGTTGGCCAGCCCTGAGGCCAAGCAAGGCTGGAAACCCACATCTGGCCCTGCTTTGCCCTGAGCTGCAGCCTCAGCCCCAGGATCCTGCTTGCCACCACTATAGCAGGCGGAAGGGGCCCTGGGGGATTGGACGCTGCTATTGATTCATTAAAAAAAAAAAAAAAAATACACCAAGGCTCCGTGTTCCCCGTGACAGGTGGGCCTGGGGGGCCAGCATGAACCCCCTATGGCCACGTAATTTCTGTACAAATCCACCATCTGGGGCAGAGTGCGGGCACGCGGAGGCTATTTCTTGGCTTTGGCGGAGTTGCGGGGTGGGGTGATGGGCCGTCCTCCAGGGTTCAAGCCACTGAATTGCCCATATTTCCCCTTGTTCTTGTCAGCGGGCTTGAGGATCTAAAAAAGACAGAGCTGGTCAAACTCATGGGCTAAGCCACAGGGTCACCAGCCCCCTTCCTTCCCCCATCCCAACCTGGAAGGAGCACATGAGTGTCTCATCCACACTCATCATGGCGCCTGCATTGTCAAACTCGCCACAGTAGTTGGGAGCCGAGAAGAGAGTCACCAGCTGCCGCTTGGCAAAGAATTCATAGCCATCTTCTACCACCTGGATGAGGATGGGGGCAGTTTATTCAGCAGGTGCTGGCTACCCAGGCCCCACTCCCACCCGCCCCAGAGCTGCCAGCCCACCTGGTGTGCCCGGCAGATGAGGTCCAAGTCGTGCTTGTGCAGGAATTTGGCCACTACCTCAGCCCCAAAGGTAAAGGAGACACCACGGTCATTCTCGCCCCAGCCCTGCACGTCCTTGTCAGGGTCAGACCACAGCAGGTCGCACAGCAGGCCCTGGTCCGGCACGTCTGTAGGCCGCATGATACGCCGAATCTGCTCCATGGACTGCAGGTCTGGGGACAGGCCTGGGGGAGGGCAGGTTACTTGCTTAAGCCTCAAAACAAAGAGTGACATGCAAACCAAGACCACTGGGAGAGGTCTTCCAGGTGATGGGGAGTACATCCTCCAGCTAACAGCCTCATCCCAGGGCTCCCCGGGATGTGGCCCAGGGCTCTTCCTTCCCAAAGAACCCTTCAACATGTACCCCAGAGCCACTCTCACCTCCGTGGCAGCAGAAGATCTTCTCATCCACAATGGCAGCAATGGGCAGGCAGTTGAAGCAGTCAGTAAAGGTCTTCCACAGTTTAATATTGTAGCGTCTCTTGCCTGCTGGGAGGAAGGAGATGCCTCATGAGGCCTATCTGCCCCACAGCCAGCCTGGGTCTTGAGGCCCTCCAGACACAGCTGGGAGAAGAGAATGGCAGACAAGAAGAGAATCCCCCCTCCACCGACTCCACTGCCTACCAGCCTTCCAGGAGTTCTAAAGCAGCTAGGTCCAGAGGAACCTGAGTTCCAATCCGAAACAACCCACCCGCACCCAGTGAGCAGGGCCAGGCTAAGACTAGGCCTGGTTTATCTCAGCTTCTGGTTGGTAGGATCCAGTCCAAATAGGCATCCCGAGTGCCTAATGGATGTCCTGGAGGGGACTGTCATCCGGCAGGGCCCTGCATTAGAACATGGGCAGTCCTCAGCAGCCGCTCCCCAGACCCCTCCTGAGTGCCAGGCCCCACAGCAGGAGGGCAGGCAGAGAGGCACCAACTGGCGTGCACCCTTCGCAGAGCTCGCGGTCTGCGGGTAGTGGTCAGACACCAATTCCCCCACTGCCAGGCCTATGTGAGGGTCTCCCTGAAAAGGGAAGTCACTTAAGGACTTGGGCAGGACTTGGGCTACTCACACTCATCGTAGAAGCCATAGATGCGGTTGATGCTAGCACACTCATGGTTCCCACGGAGCAGGAAAAAGTTTTCGGGGTACTTGATCTTATAGGCCAGCAGCAAGCAGATGGTTTCCAAAGACTGCTTGCCCCGGTCCACGTAGTCCCCCAGGAAGAGGTAGTTGCTCTCTGGAGGGAAGCCACCATACTCGAAGAGCCGCAGAAGGTCGTAGTACTGGCCATGGATGTCACCTGTAACCCAGGGAACCAGTTCAGTGCTAGGTGCAGGGGCTACACTTGAACCTAGGGCCAAGTTCGGCCTCCAGGGAGCAGCAATGCAAGGACTGGGCGGGGTGAAGTGGGGATTCCACTTTCAGAAAGCCAAAGGGATCTGGGCAGCAGACTCACCGCAGATCTTGAGGGGTGCCTCCAGCTCCAAAAGAATGGGCTGGCTCAGGAAAATCTCCCGTGATTTGAGGCACAGACCACGGATCTCGTTCTCTGTTAGCTGTACATTCTTTCCAGGCCGCGAGCCCTGCACTGGGGGCGGAATGGGGTGTCAAGACTCTGGTTCCTCAGGCAGGAGGAAGGTGGGCGACACAAGTGGCCCTATGGGCACATCTGAGGGCGCCTGGGCCTCCTAGGCCCCTCCCTGCCTAGGGGCAGCTGTTGCTGGTGAGCCTCCCAGGACCTCTGCCTCTGGCCTCCCAGGATGGGACCCCCTCGAGGGGGGTGTGCTGTGCGCGGGGGCCTGCCACCCAACACCCCACCCATAGCGCAGGACCCCTGGGAGGGGTGGAGCTAGGCTTCTTAGGTTTCTCCCTCACTCCCAATAGCGCAGGCCAACCCGTGCGCCCCCGGCCCAGGAGGGGGGCTGCTCCCCGTGCCAGAGCGTCCCCGGAACCCCCCCTCCCCCGGCGCGCCGCGACTCGGGGGGCGGCTGTGGCCACGGGACCTTGCGGCCCGTCCCCGCCCAGTCTAAGCTGGCCCGGGGAGGGGCAGGCCCGCCCGCGCACCGCTTCCGGGCCAGGGCGCGGCGGGCACCGACCTCCCCTGCCCCGGCCAACCTTCCAGCAGGCGCCCGATGATGGAGTCCAGGTTGAGCTTCTCACTGTCGGACATGGCGGCGCCGCCGCTCCGCCCCAGCAGCTCCGGGCCCGCTCCTGCCGCCCTCCCTCCCGCCCGCTGCCTCCTTCCGGCCTGGCGCTCCTTCCGCCCGCCCCGGCCCGCCCCGGCCTGCCGCCCCGCCTCCCCGGCCCGCCGCCCCGCCCTGCGCGCTGCCCCCGCGCTCTAGCGCTCCCGCTGGACACCGCGCGCAGCGGCCGCGGCGGCCCGGGGGGCGGGGCATAGGGGACGGGGCGGGGTTCGGGCTGAGCTCGGTCGTCTGGGACGGAGCCCGGCCGGTGGGCGGAGCTCGGAGGGGCGGGGTCGAGTCTGGTCCCGCCCCCGAGGAGTTACCCGAGTCCAGTTCCGAGAATATGGGGCCGGAAGTACTGTGGGAGTTGTTTGTCTCTGTCAGACGCTAACCCAGCCACCCTGGGCGGGAGCGTGGTATGAGCACATTCATAACCGATTCTCCAAACACTGCGGATTAAGTCCTCGAGGTGCAGAGACTCAAGAGATAGCAGGGCGGTGGGTTGGTCCAAAACCCTGGCCTCACATTCATGCGGGGCCTCCACCTCCTGAGTCTCGGTGGCCCTCAAGGCAGCTGGCCAGACCCAGGCACCTGCCGCGGCGCTCTGAACCCATCTTGGTCCACGCTGTGCTGCACGCTGAACTAATTTTTGTGAGTTCCATTATTGCCTGCTGAGTGCATAATAATGCTGCATTAGGTATATATTCAAAGCATTACTTGTAAAGAGCAAATATTAAATAAACGAGAATTCTCACTGGAATCTTGAATTGTTTTAACATGCCAGTAACCTCAAAACTGGAGGGGCCTGGCCTCTGTAACTCGGGTGGGTTCTGGACTGGTCACACCCTGCCCAAGTCTGCAGCCACCCAGCCCATGGGGAGGGTGGGAGGAGCCCACGGTCCTGGGGGCACTGGGGCAGGCCGGAAGAGCCTCAGAGAGGAAGAGGTGACCCCCCCACACACACTTGGGAGGGGAGTGTGGGAGGGGCCCCCCAGCCGGTTGCTGAAGCTGCTGAGAAGGAGGAAGTGAGAGGAGGAGGTGAGGTGCAGCAGGGAGGTAAGCTGGCCTGGGGGGGCAGGGGCTGGGCCTGGGGACCAGCCTCTATACAGAGGCCTGGATTTTCTGCCATTTCAAGGCTCACCCTCACCCTCCCACCTCCATAAAAGAGGGGACAGAGGGGGCTTGGTGAGATGCCCTGAAGTCTGTCCCCTCTGAACCCTGCAGCCAGGTCCCCGGGCTGGGGACCAGCTGGATGGGAGCTCAGGCCCCAGGCTGGTCAGAAGCTGCCTCTCACACTGGCTCTCCCCACATCTTGCAGCCTGTGGTAGCTTGGGTCTGGGGCACCATGGCCCAGGCCCTGGGGGAGGACCTGGTACAACCTTTCGAGCTGCAGGATGACTCAAGCTCTTTGGGGTCCGACTCAGAGCTGAGTGGGCCTGGCCCATATCGCCAGGCTGATCGCTATGGCTTCATTGGGGGCAGCTCAGCAGAGCCAGGGTAAGTGGGGAAGGGATGAGGGGCAGTGGGGTGCTGGGAGTGAGGATGGGGGTTGAGGGCTGAATTCTAGAGACAGGCTCAACTCCTAGGGTCCTAGAGGGTCTGGGGACTCAGCCAGTGTCCCTACTCATCACATTCCAGGAGGAATCCTAAAGCTGGTAGGGCTGCAGCAAGAGTGTCCCTCATGTGTCTCTTTGACCCCCAATCTCCCAGCCTTTGCACCTATCCTTGGGGCCAGATATCCTTCTGCTTTTAATCCCTGCCCTGATAATCCCAGAACCAAACCAAAGAACCCACACCTCTATCCCTACCATCTTCCTTTCCCAATATACAGACAGGAAAACAATTCCAGATAGGAGCTTGCCCAAGGTCACACGGCAGATCAGATAGAATCAGGTTCAAACTCAGGACTCCTAGCTTCTAGCCCCTTGGCTCTGGCCACCTGCCTCTCTTATGAGTTGTCTGTGTTCGTGTCCTGGAGGACAGCCACCTGGCCCCTGCCCTCCCCCAACACACACCTACACACCCCCTTCAGCCTCTCCTGCTTCTGCCCACATCAGAGCCACATCTTCTCCTGTCCCTATGACAACCACTGGCAACTCCTGGGTGATAGGTTACCCCCCCCGGGGTCCCTAGAGATCCCCACGACCAGGAGCTGAGTTTACCTGGGTAGCATGGAAGGTGGCAGAGGTGGGCTCTGGGTGAGAGCCAGCCAACGCCTTGATGCCTGTGCCTTGTGCCCACAGGCCAGGTCACCCTCCTGCAGACCTTATCCGCCAGCGGGAGATGAAGTGGGTGGAGATGACCTCACACTGGGAGAAAACCATGTCTCGGCGGTACAAGAAGGTGAGGGGACAATGGGGCTCCTTCAGTCATCCCCCTTTGCCTCTGCCTATGCCCTGGCAAAATTTACCCATCCTGTGTCCCAGCACCTCCTGCCTTTTTCTCCTACCACCCCAAGTGACCCTTGTCCCATGACACATTGGAGCTTGGGATCCTCCAACAGGAGCAGGGCAGCTGGTCTGCCTGATCTAATGGGGCCCTGGGGTGGGCCTCCCCGCAGGTCAAGATGCAGTGCCGGAAAGGCATCCCCTCAGCTCTCCGGGCCCGCTGCTGGCCCCTGTTGTGTGGAGCCCATGTATGTCAGAAGAACAGCCCTGGCACCTATCAGGTAATGCAGTTGACAGGGGTTCTGCTTCCCCTTTCTAGAGCCTCTGGCAGCTCTTAGCCCTCACAGAGAGCTTCCTGTCCACGCACAGGAACTGGCCGAGGCCCCTGGAGACCCACAGTGGATGGAGACCATCAGCAGGGACCTGCACCGCCAGTTCCCCCTACACGAAATGTTTGTGTCACCTCAGGGTCACGGGTAGGTGGCCAGTGACACCCAGGGACCTCCAGCCCCACAACCTCCAGGGCCTTCAGCCCAGACTCCTACCTCAGCCTCAGCTTATATCCTTACATCTCAGGGGACCCAGCGAGGCCCAGGGGGGCTGTGACCTGGGAAGAGGCCATCTTTGGGCAGGGAAGGGGTATCTGAACCAGCCCCTAATGGGGTCTTCTGGCACAGGCAGCAGGGGCTCCTGCAGGTCTTGAAGGCCTATACGCTGCATCGGCCGGAACAGGGCTACTGTCAGGCCCAGGGTCCCGTGGCTGCTGTGCTACTCATGCATCTGCCCCCAGAGGTGAGTGCCCTAGACCCTAACCCAGGGACTTGAGACCCTGGCACCTAAACCCAGTGATCCATGATCCTGACCTTAGGTACTTGAGGTCCTTGACCCACATCCTAGTGACCTACAGACCTAGTAATCCTGTGCTCTGGACCCATGACTCCTATCCCCAGGAACTCGGGACTCAGGGATCTGGGATCCTTGACTCCCAGATCCTGTCCTAGTCACCTAGGGCCTCATGACCATCAACCTCAGTGACTTTCAAGCCCAACGACCTTGACTCTAGGTCAAGGTCCCTTTGGCCCCTGCTCCCTGCCCCAGTGACCTAAGAATCTGGATGTCATCACCTCGACCTCAGGACTCCTGATTCTGAGCCCTGTGACCATGATCTCAATGACTCTGAGAGCTCAGGACTTGAAGACCCTCCCAACCCTTGACCAGTGAGCCCCAACTCTGTGACCCTGAAATTCAACACCATGAACCCAATGACTTCCAAACTCCTAAACCAATTGGTAGGCAGAGAGACTTTTGGTAAGAGCCTGAGTTTAGGCTCCAGAGTGACCTCAGAGGGTACCTATGCCCACTCCCGCACTCTGTTCCCCTATCCTATGGTTCCTTCTGTGATCCCCTGGGTGTGGGCACTCATGGCCTGTGCCCCCACCCAGGAGGCCTTCTGGTGCCTGGTACAGATCTGCGAGGTCTACCTCCCCGGCTACTACGGGCCCCACATGGTGAGAGGAGGGGGCCCGAGGGCCCGGGGATGCACTGGGTGGGCAGGCAGGGGCCCTGGGAATGGAAAGGGGCAGAGCCTGGGATTGGGGAGTAGAGGCGCTGACAGACATGGCTGCAGGAGGCCGTGCAGCTGGATGCTGAGGTGTTCATGGCCCTGCTTCGGCGGCTGCTCCCTCGCGTGCACAAGCATCTGCAGCAGGTGGGCGTTGGGCCTCTGCTCTACCTGCCCGAATGGTTCCTGTGCCTCTTCGCCCGCTCCCTGCCTTTCCCCATCGTGCTGCGCGTCTGGGACGCCTTCCTCAGTGAGGGTGAGTGGCAGCTGGAGGGGAGGTGTGGCCAGCGCGGGGAGCCTGGGGGTGCACGGGCAGGGACCAGGGCCCCACCTGCCCCTGCCAATCCCGGCTGGGGTGTGGGCGCCAGAGGGTGCCGAGGGTGATGGTGTCAGCCGGACTCTGGGGGGAACGGCCCAGCCCCTGCCTGCACATCACCAGGGTACTGACTGGTAGCTCCTGCCCTCATGATGAGATTACCCGAGGGAAGGCAGACTCTGCCCAGTGGCAGGCTGGGGAGCCGAGGAGGCCCCTCCCCCCAGGTCGGGGGGCCGAGCTGAGGGGGCCAAGCAGTGGAGCTGTTCAGGGTCTGGGCTCAGTAAGCATGGCCAGTGGTAGGGACGGGGCTGGTGGGAGTGGAAGAGTGCTGGTCACTGGAGCCCACAGGCACTAGGTGAGCCCTCAGGGTGCCAGGCACCGGTATAGACGCTGGGATCACCTGAGTCAACACCACTGTGGTCTGGTGGGGGTGGGGATGGGAGACAACAGGAACCAAATTAACAAGATATTTATAGGGTGCCTGGCTGGCTCAGTGGTGGAGCATGTGATTCGATCTCTGGGTGGTGAGTTCAAGCCCCACCTTGGGCATAAAGCTTTAAAATAAAAAAGGACAGCCAAAAAAATAAAATAAAATAAAATAAAATAAAATAAAATAAAATAGGAAAAAAAAGGGATATTTATAGATTGTCCTAAGTGCCACGAAGAAAATAAAACAAGCGATGAGACCATATTAGGGGAGCAGTGGGAGGAGAGTGCTGTTTTCAAGAAGCTTTTGGCCTCTCCATGGAGGAGACAAACTTGCAGGGCCCAGGTGGAGGTGGGAGAACCAGAGAGATGCTGTCCATAGGGTTCAGGCTATAGACTCCTTGGGGGTGTGGGCATGGAGAGAGATGAAGCCAGAGAGGTCAGGCCAAGAGTGGGAGCATTCAGGGCAGAGCTGAGCTGGACTTTTTGGGACTTTGGGGCTCTGCCTTGGTACCCCCGTCAGTAACCCACCTGCCTTCTGCTCTATCTGGGTTGTCTCGCAGTAACAACTAAAAAATGGTAGAAATCAATCAGTACGTCTATTGAGCTCCTGCTTTGTGCCCAGTTGGCTCCAGGCCCTATTAGGGCTCTGGCCACAGGTGTCCAGGCTGCTAGGTATGTGTCATCACCCCTCTAACCTCAGATCTCAAAGGCCAGGCAGGGCAAGCTGAGCCCCCTTTGCCCTCTCTGCCAAGGACAGGACAGGCAATGTCACAGGCTCCCATTTGTCATGATGATGACGTGAATGGCTGTTATCATCTCTTTACAAGCCACAGTTGTCACTAGGCCTCACTGGTCCCCAGACTTGAGACTGCCCGGAAAGGATTCTGAGGCTCTGGGAACAGCCTAAGGTCACACCCACGCATGGCTGTGAGCATGTGTGCCTGTGTGTGTGCACATGTGCACCATGCTGTTGGCTTAGGGGTGAAGAGCTCTAGTGAGAATCTCTCCAGAATGAGGTCTCCAATCTGAGCTGGAAAGCTCGTAAGGACAGGTTGCTGAAGCTCAGAGAGCAGGTGTAAGGAGTGGCTAGCCCAGGGTTCTTGGCAGGCTTCTCTGCCCGGAAGCGTCTGCGGCTGCAGACACTCGTCAGTGCCCCCACATTGCAACCCCGCCGTCCAGCACTGCTCCTGGTCTGAGTAGCGGCTGCAGAGCTGCAGGAGGGTGGAAGGCGTCTGGCTGAGGTTAGGTTTAGGTACAGAGCATTGAGTGAGCCCCACGGCCTGCAGGTGTGAAGGTCCTGTTCCGCGTGGGGCTGACGCTGGTGCGCCTGGCGCTGGGCACCACAGAACAACGCCTGGCCTGCCCAGGGCTCCTGGAGACCCTCGGTGCGCTACGAGCCATCCCCCCAACCCAGCTGCAGGAGGAGGTCTTCATGTCCCAGGTGGGTGCCCCCTGCCTGCCTTCCACAATGGCCCAGCCCCTGCTGCTCAAGTGGGGAAATGGAGTCTCCCTGCAGAAGTCAGAATGAGAACCGGGGCTCAGTTCCTGTCCTCTGAGCAGCAGTGAATGTGAAAACCCCAGGCTTCAAGTAGCTTTCTATGGCGTAGTGAGTCTGGCTGTCAGCCCCTCAGCCCTCAGCCACTTCCTGAGGCTGCGTCCTGCCCGCCCTGTGGGGACCTCATGGTTTCCTGCCCTTCCCCCAGTCTGGGCACACTCAGTACCAACCACTCCCCACAGGTGCACAGCATGGCCCTGTCTGAGCAGGACCTGCAGCGGGAGATCAGGGTCCAGCTGGCCCGGCTGCCTGAGTCGACGTCCGGGCCACCCCCCAGGCCTCAGGCCCGCCTGCCTGGGGCCCAAGCCATCTTTGAGGCCCAGCAGCTGGCAGGGGCACAGGGGGGTGCTAAGCCCGAGGTGCCTCGGATAGTGGTGCAGCCCCCAGAGGAGCCCAGGCCACCACGGCGCAAGCCCCAGACCCGAGGCAAGACTTTCCACGGACTCCTGACTCGGTCCAGGGGTCCTCCTATTGAGGGCCCCCCCAGGTCTCATCGAGGCTCCACATCCTTCCTGGATACCCGATTCTGAAGGTTCCACTTCTGAGGATATTGTGGACTCGGTATCCGCTAACCCCAGTTGCCTGATTGGCTGATGCCAGCCTCAAAGATGGCACTGCACTTTACCGCTGGGACTTGGCGACTCGGCTCCCTTCCCACGGACTGTCAGACACAAGGATGAAGGAAGGTCACAGAGTGTGGTTTCAGGGCCCCAGGCCTGCCCTTCTCCTGCGGAGCTGCCCTGGTACCCGGGCCCTTGCAAGCATGGGAGCTGGCATGGAAGGAGTGTGGGGCTAGGGGCACCTGGCAGAGCTAGGGGCACCTGGCAGGGCTAGGGGACCCCAAAGGGCTCCTGGGGAGGCCTAGAATAAAGTCTGAAAAAAACCCTAGATGGAGTTGGATTGACTGCTCTCCACCCCCAACTCTAGACCAGCTGCCCCTTCCCCTGCTCCCTCACCCCCTCACCTTGCCTCTCCTGGTCCAGCCCAAATTCCCACAGGATACACCGAGGCTGCCCATTGGCTGCTGAAAGCTGTTTACCAGCAACAGAAGCCAATGGTAAGCCACCTCGCCCAGCCTCTTGGGTCCAGGTAAGGCTCTGGCGTTGGTGGGAGGAAGGTTCCCCAGCTGGATACTGGGCCCAGGGGTGGGACTCTATCTCCTATTCTTCCCTTCCTCCTGGATTGGTTCAGGACCCACAAGGGTAGGGGGGACTCTAACCCAAGTCTGCTCCCCACCCATGTTCTTGGGCTGTTCCTCTAGAGTCAGCCAAGCGGGAAAAGCCTCTTGTGCCAGGACAAAGCAGAAAGCCCCCACAGGCCCTTACCCCTTACCCACTCCCAGAGCCTCAGTACACTCCTGGGGATTCCCACTGTGGAAACTCCCACACTTGATAATTGCCCCCGTGGGTGCCCGGGGTGCCTGAGACGTGAGCCATCACTAGGACAACAGGGCTGGCTCCCATGCAGCCTGGAATGGGTACCTTGCCTCCCTGGGGGCCCTCCCCTGCAGGGTGGGGGATGACCAGGCATGGCAGGACCCTGGAGTCCTGGGAGAAGGCATCTGGACTCCCACCTAGGTGGTGGAGTATACCCACAGCCTCACTAGGGAAAGGGGGAAGGGAGTGCTCAGCCCAAGAGCCCTGTAAGGGGCAGAGCCACTAGGGTGCAGGGCTCTGTAACAAGTACACAACCCCTTAGCCTTGGGCATCAAATGCTGTCTCAGGAAGGTAGGATGGGGGGACCTACCCCTGGAGTCTGCTCATAAACTCCCTGCCCTCCAAGGGCTCAGCTCTTCTGTTCGGAGGGTGGGGAAGCAGGAAAGCAGCAGCCCCTGTCATGAGGCTGGGAGGTGGGCCATGGTGACAGTGGGTCCCCCTGGTTATAGACCCTAGGGGAAAATGGTCTCCAGCAGGACTTCTCCAGCTAGGGAGGAATCAATGCCTTTTCTGCTCAGGGAAGCATTTTCTGGGCTGGTGCCATTATCAAACATCTATGTGGGGAGCCTGAGCAGGGTAGGATGTGGGGGTGTCAGACCAGGAGAGAGTTAGCTCCCCTCACGTAAACACTTTTCTGCACACACTGTCCTCACAAGATTATGCTAGCCCCTACAGCACTTGTGTGCTAGTTGGGAAAAGACACCTCTCCTCCAGGCACATGCAGCCCTATGTGGCAGAGGGGAAGTGACCACTCACCTGAGTGCCTTTGTGAAGTGAGCAACCTGCACAACCATCCTCAGTAAACCTGGCAGCCCCAGCTCCTGACAAACCTGCTTAGAAGGCAAACCTGCTCCGGAAAGCCAAGCCATGTATCTGACAGCACTCAGCCTGCAGGGACTGAAGCTGGGATGGCACCCAGAGATGTCCATTGGTCTGGGTCAGCCCAGGGGACAGCAGTGGGGGCCAAGCAAAGAAGTGGAAGGACAGGGGCCCCTGGCTGGCTTAATTGGAAGAACATGGGACTCCTGATCTTGGGGTTGTCCCATGTTTGGTAAACAGATTACTTAAAAATAAATTTAAAAAAATTTTAAAAGTGGAAAGGCAGATGGATCCCACCTCGGTTGTGGGGCCCATGGTCTCCATCTTGCACTGCCACTCACTCCAGAGCTTCCTCATCCCCACACCGTCCAGAAGCCAGACTCCGACTCCCTGTGAAGTCCCTGCATAGGAAATGTCCTCTCGCTCTCTGTGATTGATTTTTCTCCTACGGATAATGAGATAAGAGCTCCCCCCACCCACCCCCCGCCATGCGCAGCCCCAATATCGTTTTATCAGTCACATTATTATGAGGATGATTGTTCACTTGCTCTGGGCTACAGCCGGCACATGGTCCCTCCTCACCCCACCACTAGCTGGCTAGAGATAGAGCAGAAGTGCTCTGCCAGACTGCTTGCCCCAAGCCCCAGACCCTGCCATTCCTTCCTGCAACCACAAGGCAAACGCCATGAGAGCTGGTGCCCGGCCAGGACCCTCCGGAAGTGGGCACAGGACCACACTGCCCTCTGTGCATGTGTGTATAAACTCTGGCAGATGGAAGACCCCCAGCTCCACCTCTCACCAGCAGTGTGACCTTGGGTGAGTCACATCTCTTCTCCGAGGCTCACTTTGCTCATTTGTAAAAGGCAGAGAGAATCATAACTGCTACCTCCCAGGGTGAAGAGAAAGACAGCAGATAAAGCCCTCCCGCACAGCCCCTGGGACAGAGCCAGGAAACGCTGACACACAGCAGGGGAGCACTTATCTTCTCCAGAGGCCCCCTGCCTTGCCACACCTGGGCTGAAATTTGCATCATAATCCCCGTTTGAGGCTGAAAGAGCTGAGTCTGCAGTGGTGGCATGGCTTGTGTCTCTGCCTCTCTCTCTGGGTCTCTCATGAATAAATAGATAAATAAATCTTAAGAAAAAAAAAAAAACAAGAGGTTTAAGATGATCTTAAGAAAAAAAAAAAAACAAGAGGTTTAAGATGGAATTGGTTATGTTAAACCCCACATTGCCAAACCGAGACTCCGTTCTCAGAGAACTAGAACTTTTTTTTCTTTTTTTAAAGTAGGCTCCATGCCCAGTGAGGAACCCAATACAGGGCTCGATCCCATGACCCTGAGATTGAAACCCAACCTGAGATTAAGAGCCAGACGTTTGGGGTGCCTAGGTGGCTCAGTCGGTTGAATGCCTGACTCTTGATAATCAGCTCAGGTCCTGATCTCAGGGTCATGGGATCAAGCCCCGCATCCGGCTCCCACTCAGCACAGTCCCCTAGAGATCACCACCCGCCCCCTCTGCCGCCATGCTTGTACACACATGCGTGCAAGCTCTCTCTCAAATAAATAAAATCTTAAAAAAAACCTAAAAAACAGAACAGAGTTGGACTGAGCCACCCAGGCGCCCCCAGAAATGCAATCTTAAACTAGGATAAGGAATCACCTATCAGCACTAGTTAGGTTGTCTGATAGATCTCTGGCATCCCCTAAAGGAAAGCAACCTTGCAAAATCCAACTCACTTTTTGCCCAGTACAACCTCCTTGTCCTTCCTCCCTTCTGCTTAGAAGTCTCATTCTGCACAGCTCCTCGCAGCTCCTTTTTTATTTGCTAGATAGGATGCTGTCCAATATATGAATCGTTGACTAAAGCCAATAAAATATTTAAAATTTACTCAGTTGCATTTCAGCTTTTAACTCTTGTTAGGTGCCAAAGCTCTTGTTTCTTGATAACATCCGTGCCTCATCCCTGCTCCCACCAGTGGGATCGCAGCAGAGCTCAGTCTACCCATACAGCAGGAGAACGGACTTCTCAAGTGGCCACACCTAATTCCAGAGAGGGCACAGAGCAGCCAGCCCTGGGAAGCTGTGCGGGGAATGTGGGCTGAGCTGGGCAGACTCTGGATGAATCATTACTCCCCTCTGAGTGCCTTCAGTGGTAAACAGAAGTGGGTCCTCTGTATACCCAAAGCTGCTCCCGCAAGTGCCATGGGCCCCTCAGTTCTCTCCCCCAGCCCAGGAGGCTCTCAAGGACACCCAGGGAGTCTCTGGCTCTGAGACAGGCAGGGAGAAAGTGTGGGTTTGAGGCTGTAAGGTGGTGGAATTGTAACAACAGCCTACGTGTGGTAGGTGCATGCAGGACCCTGTGCTTATCCTCCCCACAGCCCTGTGAGATGGAAACTAGCCTTATTTTAGGCAGGAGGAAAGTGAGATTCAGATCAGAAAGGGAAGGTGCCCACGTCCTATGGCTGGAGGTAAGACCGACACCCACCTACTGTGACACTCGAGGAAAGGGTGTGAGTCTCTGAATTTGTGGCTGAGAGCCAGGTCTCTTGCGGTGTTTTTCTGTGGGTGCTGGAGTGAGCGCACCTGAGTGTAAGGTTGTGTGTCTTGGGGAGACTGGGTGTAACTACTGGTATCCAGCAGACTCAGTGTTGATGGGCAAGGGAGATCCCATACATACTCCCTTTCCTGGGCTCAGATCGACCAGAACTCCACAGCTTGGGCACCCTCTTCCTTCTTGGCCCCTTGCAAGGCAGAGGGTATCCCAGGAAACTGGGATTGCCCTTATGGGGTCTTCTTACCAATTGGTTCCCACTCTGGTGGTGGTGGGGGCCCAGGAGTGGTGAGGCAGGAACCCCATGGGTGTCCAGGGACCCCTGCCCAACCTGGCCTTTCTGGGAGAGTCTGCCATAGGGCAGAGTGCTTGCTCATGGCTGAGACTGACTCCCGCAGGTTGGGTATGCTAGGGAGCTCAGGACTCCATCCAAACGCAGGACTCCAGACTGTGTACCTCCACTGCTCTCCTGGCCACCCCACCCCCAAAGGTCAAGGACAGCCCTGCCACGGTCTCTGCCCTCGACAGCCCTGCCCCGCTCCCCTCCCCTCTCTCCCCTCCATCCCTCTTCCATTCTGGACTTGCTCTTACTCCGTCTCTGCCTCTCTGTCTCTCTTCCTCCTCTTCTCTGTGTCTCTCCGTGTTTCTCTTTCCCCGTCTGGGCTCTGTCTTTTCCTCACCACAGCCCAGCGTCGTGACCCTCTGCTCCCCGGAGTCTTCCTGCCCTCCGTCCCTGGACCCATCCTGGAGCCCCGGAGGCGGACTGGGCGGCGGGCGACTGGACGGGAGCGACCCGGCAGCCGGAGGGGGGTTGCTGGCTGGGGCCCCGCGCCGCCCCCGCCCCGCACTGGGCATGCCCCGGTCGCTTCTATATAAAGCGGCGCCACCCGCGCCCCGCTGTGCCGCCGCCACCGCTGCCACCGCTGCCACCGAGCCGCCGTCGCTCTGCTCCACGCCTGCCCGCCTGACCCGCCGAGCCGCTGCCGCCCTCCAGGTACCCGGGCTCCTGCCCGCGCCCCGGGGGAGAGCCAGGCAGGGGGGCTGCGGGAGTGGGGGCCGCAGGAATCCAG